TTCAGAAGACACTCAGGTCTGCCTCTATACCAAACTCAGCTTCATGTTACCTTACATCACTGATTGCTACCCTGTAATATAATCCTGATTTACCTCAAACCTCTTTAAATGCAATTCCAGTGAGAAAAAAACTTGGGTTGTTTGGTGGAGCAGTTTGTATTATTGTTTGCATTGTAGCACACTCCTCAGTTCAAACCCAGGGTTTGTTTGTATGTTCTCCCGATTCATGTCTCTCTTGGTACTCTGGTTTCCTCCCATAGTTCAAACCCATGACTGTTAGATCAGGTGGTGTCTCTACACTGCCTTAGGTCTAAGTGTTTGTGTGCATGGTTGTGTCTCTGTGCTGTTTGGCTAACCTGTCCTGAGTGTACCAAACATTCTACCCGAAAGACACCTGGACTTACAGTAGGCAGTAGTCCCCTGTGACCTGGACAAGCAAAAGTCGATTGATGGACAGATGAAACAGAACTTCTTTTAACAGGCACAACATCTGCAATAAACTAGCCTTTTCATGTCTTTTCTATCCCTATCTATAACCTCTCAATCTTTAAATGACCTCAGGTCAAGGGAGGGAGTATCAACCTAACCAGCACCCTTTTCTGTCTTGTCTTGTATTAGTAATATCACTCAGTGTGTCTATTTCCTTTATTGTCTGCTTCTAAATAGTGCAAATCATAAAGGAGATTTAAGCCAACCAAGGCAGAAGTGGGTCAGTGGTCACCATGATAAGAGCTATCCGAATAGAGCTGGCAATAAGCTAGGAAGTGAAATAATGATGCTTCCTATCAATAGTTCAGTCATCATAGGGACCATACAGTCCTATCCACAACATAGGAGTTTTACAGTTTCTCATAATCCTGTGTGTGACAGGAAATACAGACACAGTCCACCTCAAGGATGTAGATAAAAAAAATATTATTTCGATATAAGTAGGCCTACTCTATCTGACACATGCATCTTCATATTTCTCGGGTGTTCTATGATGGAAAACTTTAGCCTTTTTCAACATGTGTTACTTTTTTTTTTCTTATAGGCTATAGCCCAAGTGTGACAAGCATCAATCATATGCGTCTCCATGTGAATAATGTAAGACTGAAGGTTTTTGAGATGAAGCTCATCAGTCTGGAGCTTTTTTCCTAACTTGGATGACGTTAACCCTGGGAAAGGTAAAGCAATAGGATATATGAACAAGAGAAAAGAGTAGCAATTTGATGTAGATTAAATTAGTCTCTGTTGTTTACTATAGATTTACCTCAAATTCTACATCCTTTGTTTTTTCTCCATTTTGATCACATACATTCATATACGCCCAACAGAGCAACTACATTATTTTAATTAATGGGTACCCATTTCCTGTGACTCCTGTCACCGTCAAAATATGGAACAACTCCAATCCGCCTGGCTCCTGCCGGACCTCTCACACATGCTTTCTTTGGAATTCAAAGAACTTAGAGCAGAGCTGTATGGTGTACCGCAGATGTTGTAGGGGCTGATTTTCACGGAAGCTGACCAATACACACAACAGAGCTACAGCGGAATGTGTTTGACCAAAGCTCAGCCATGTGTTCGAATTGCTCAGTCAAGATTAAGAACAAAATTCAGTTAAGATTCTGTGGTTAAGATTTATGTCTCTAGATGTACCAAATTGCTAAGGGTTTGTTGAAAAAACTTGCACTTGCAATCTGGAGCTCAAATGAATGCTCTCTGTTGGAGGAGGGGTGTGAGCAGCAGATTGATTGACATTGCTAAGACACTCCAGCTGGTTCTGATTTGTTGTTTCTGACAGGGAGCAACATATCTCCGGAAATGGCACTAGGAGAACTGAAAGAAGCCAGAGAAGCTATATGTTTCTTATCATTTGTCTCATATTCTACTGTCAGGAAATATAGGGATAGTTTGAACAAACAATACATAGTACAAAGGAAAAATAGTATTTGCTAAAGTTAAATACTGCACCTTTAAGGTGTTACCAGATCTGTTTTGCAATATAGACATTTTATGTCATAGTTGTTTCTGTGAAGTCAGCAGACGTTGTTGTCAGTCATAAAAAAAAGAAACCCAGCTTTTCAGCAAATGCATCAGTTTGCAGGTTGGTTGAGGACCCAAAGGCAGAGATGAGGGAGGCAGTGATGAGTTCTTACAGGTTTAATGAAATCAACAGAGGCAACAGAAACAAAATCTAAGAGCAAAATACAGTAAACGAAAAACCAGGAGAAAACAAACACGAGGAACCAAGTAACAACAAGAAACCACCAATGATGAACTGCATAGGAAGTGTATATATGGGGGACAGAACAAAGAATGGGCTAATAAGCTGATATGGAGCAGGTATGGATAGAAGTAACTAGAAGGGAGGTAAGGGAAAGGAGAGTGACACAAGTCCCAGTCCCGATGGCCAGGTCTGCATTAACAGATGTATTTGTCTGGAACAAGTCAGACACATTGATATGTGTTGGAGATAAGTTCTAATAAGTGATGCACAAGTTAAACAGAGGTTTTGGATACGCCAGACGGCATGACTTAGAAGTTTCTTACACTTAATATGTGTCAACGATACATACATCAGGAAATTTTTAGCATCCTCAAAATCTCTCGAATTGCCATATGCTGAGGTGTGACAGCATCTTTCACAGTGCTCATAACTTATGCAAAACATACCCATAACTTATCCAACGTATGCTAGCATTTTTGCCAGATTTTTCATAGGTCAGGCATATGCTGCTAAATCGTCAAGGCGTGACAGGGGCTTTAAATATATCACAAAATGGAAAAGAAACCAATGATCAACAGCACAGAATAACTTAAATAACTGAAAACTCAAAAAGAAGTCCATAAGAAGAGAACCATATCACTCATTAGGTAAAAGTTTGTAATACCAAGCATGATTTTGGTTAATTTTTAAATGATCATTATTACCGTGCATAAACCTAAGTGACTGAACACATTTTATTGCAATTTTAGTGCAGCCATATTTTTAGAAGCAGACAGCTAAATTATTCCCAAACCCTGCTGTCATGAAAGCCAGACGTCAGACTTGCTCTCTGCTTGTTGTGGTGGAGATGATGTAACAGTGAGCAGCTTTGCTCTCCACCAATCCCAACTCCCTCCATACCCAGACACAATCCTTTGTGTGTGTATACTCCATGTTTGTGTGGAGGGCGAGTGGGAGAGGCTTAGACACAGACACAGTTTGACAGTCCAGGACATCCATTACAGATTTTTCCTGTAAGGGAAAACTGCTTCCAGCGAGCCCCTAAAATTAGTTTCATAGAACACACATTAGTAGGCTATGCTTTCAGCTTAATTTATGTTTCATATTACAATAAAAGACTGAGTTAGAAGTCACATTATTACACAGACTGTTCTTAATCTCAAAACTTTTTAATTTTTTTCTAATTTTTTATTTACAATAAAGGACCCACTGTCTGTATTAGACATACTAACATAATATTTAGCTTTGTATTTTATTCATGTGTTTTAGTTTCTTTCTTTCTTTTAATTTGGGAAAGAAAATCAATTGGATACTAAACCATTTAGTTGATCCACCTCGCTGATCCATTCATGCAGACTGGTGTTACATAACCCCGGCATCCTGATGGACCTGTCCTTGCTTCAACCCCGTGATCGACACAGCATTAGGGAGGGGAGGGCGGTACACATCATGGGTCTTATCTTGGTAAAAGCATAGAAGGCCCAAGCGGATGCAAATATGCATTCAATCAGAAATATTATGGATCTAATTAAACTTAGAAGTTGTGCTTCCATTGTGTCCTCAGAGACACTCTGTTACATAACACAGCAACTTTTAAGGTAGCAATAATCATCACTGCATATGCAGTGGAGACTGTTTTATTAAATAAAACACATTAAAGAGGCTTCATACATTCATTCAGACTATCTTCATGAATAAGAGACCATTCATGTTGGAAGAATGAATCTAATCTGGTTAAAGTATTAGTCTGCCCTCTAGTGACGATTTCTAGAAGTAACACTTTCGTCAGTAATGTTTACATTTTTTTAATCCTTTCTGTTTAAAATTGTGGGGCTTCAGAGTCAGCATAAAACATACTGATTATCATAATGCATTATTGAGTTTAAGCAATGATAAATTCTCTGTCCTGTTTTATTTTATGACGCCTGATGGTGCTCTTTAAACTTTAAAAGCAGAAAATATTTTATAACTTACTTCTGAGATAGGGTTTTAGCTGGTTTAACACACACACACACAAACACACATATATATATACACACACATGCATATATATATATATATATATATATATATATATATATATATATATATACACACACATACATATACATATATATATATATATATATATAGAGCTTTCCTGTGTTTGGGTTGGAGATAATAGTGCTAAACACGGTGGTGATAGTGTGATGACTTGTAGTTGCTTTGCTGCTTTACAATACATCTCTTAAGCAGAAACTCCTAAAGGGCTACATAGTCTTTAATTCGTGAACTGGGCTGAAGCTGAAGCTAATTTGCATTATGTACAGAATAATGAACTCTTGCAAGTCCGAAATAGTCCTCATAAATGCTTAATGAGTTTTAGCCTGCAAAGGTGGCACGTCTTGGTGTAGGCTCAGGGAGGAATCTCTTATACATAGGGGCAGGTGGGTTTGAATATTTTTTTTCCTCTTGTTGAAGGATAAAGACTTTGTACTTAATTCACTCTTTTAAAGGCTTTAGAGAGTTTTGTCAGTGCTTAGTTATTCTGGTAAAAACAAAACAGTCTTGTATCTCTGTCTTCATAACAACATAGCTACTAGCAGGCAGTTCTACTATATCTATGGATTAAACTAACTACAATTAAAATGGAGTAAATTTCTAACATGTTCACAGAAGTCAACTGGTACCTGTCAAAGAGAAGAAATGAAAAGCTAACAAGTAAAAGAAACATGAATCAGAAAAGAATATTTGTGTTTTTCATATTTTTGTATTTAATGTATGAAAAGACAACAATCATAATCTCAAGTGTCATTATATGCACTTTTTCAAAGCTGTGTCACAATCTGTGAGACTTGCTCTTCTGATTTGACCAATTCGTTTACATCACATCCCACTTAGTAATGTAGATGATGAGTCACACGCTACAGGCACAATAAAGTGGACACTGTGACAGATAATGCACTCTTAATAATGCACATTAAATACACAGAGACAGGCATGTCCATTAAGGACTGTAAGCAACACTTTGGCAAACATGCAGCTGTACAATATAAAACTGCATTTAAAATGCTAACAAGTAAACACTCCACTGTGCAAAACTGGCTAACCACATGTTGAAAATGTACAGTTTGGCTTAGTAACATTCTGGAAGTCCTACTTACATTCAGTCTACAGTTGCAATTACTCAGTGAAAGAAACATGATTAGCATTTTCTTATAGGAATCCATTTTTTTTCAAATGTTTTTTCTAAGAATTCTACTTAAAGTTATGCAATACTAGGCTATATATTTCACAGTTAATAATAGAAATTATTATACAGTGGAATAATGGTTGTTATAACTAGATAAAATATTGATAATGTAAGTCGGAAAACTAAAAGGAGGGGCTAGTTTTTTGGCTAACAACACTTAAAACAATCTCTAAAACACAGTTTAAGCTTAGGTAATTTTTTATATGAGCTAATCCAGATTCAAGGTCATACACAATCATTTAATCCTAATGGAATACATTTTTTGTGCACATTTCCAACTCATGTTTTACATCAACACAGATTTGGTTTTCAAGATAGCTAGCTTTGTTACAGAAACACTAAAAAAGGTTTATGTTCAAAGTTAATTAAAGAATTATTTTGACATTAGGCTGATGACTGTGTTGCCCTGCAATAGACTGGCAACCTGTCCAGGGTGTACCCCGCCTCTCACACGTAGACAACTGGAGCTAGGCACCAGCACCCCTTGCGACCCCAGCTGGGATGAAACGTGAGAAAAAATGGATAGATGGATGGGCATAAAGCTTTATATCACTCTTTTGATATAAATTAAATATTACCTTTGTCAGGTCTATATATTGAGGTTTTAGATAAGTCATCTTAGTAAAAAAGTACAAAATGCAGCGTTTATGCTAAGCTTAAAGGGCATTTTACATTATTATACTAGAAGAAATTATATAAAGTGAATTATGCAATTCTTTGGGTAGCTTACTTCAACATTTTTATTTAATGCTTTGTGATTTAAGTCATTATATTTTATGAAATAAGGCTAGAATTCAAAGCAAATAATTTACCTATTTTAGTTACATTACCACACAAAAGGCTTAACTATGTATGCTAACTTGACTCTCCACATTATTTATTTTCCATTTGATCAATAAAGTAGTTTTGAATCAAACCTAGGACTGTTTTTACAACATCTCTAATGTAGATTTTTTTTTACTATTCTTGATCAGTTGGTTTGCTACAAATAAAGTTAATGTTATAATTCACAACAATTAATTTTTTCACATTGTGATAATGACTTCAGCTATTTTGTCATTGAAAACACTAAAATTTTCATAAAGACAGCATAATATTCAGGAATACTTCTGAAATAGCTTCCTAAGTGCAATACTGTTCAGGATTGTTAAGTTCCTTCACACATAAAACATTAGAAAAAAATATTTTATTAAAATCCTCTAGTTTTTAAAATTTTCCTGATTCATCATGAAAATTCACAGTGAGGGAAGCTGTGATTGAGAGCGTTGGCAGTGTTTGCAGGACAAGGGCCAAACAAAGTGCCAATAGCTAGAAGTGAAGATGAGAGATTAGACTAGATTTGACAGCAACAGAATCTATTTTCTACTTCTCACCATAGGTGTTACAGCATTATACTATTAAAAAAATGGAAACCTCAAGGAAAAACAACAAAAACACCAAACTCTAATAAATCGAATATTCACAAAACATGTCATAAATGATCAATTTTACAGTATGTTAACCATTATTAGCAATAGCGTTGCACCGATAACGATACCAGTATCAGGTGGGGCACCATACAGCACTAAAATGGTGGTATCAGAATCGGCGAGTACAACAAATAGGGCACCGATACCATTTTGAGAGCAATGTTTATTTAACTATTGTCACCCTTTCCAGGTAGGCAATAAAAAGTTCTACAGGATTCACTTTGTATTAGTTTTTTTTTCCTGCTTCACAAAGGTAGGCAGGCGCTTGACAAAGCAATGATGGCAGTTACTTTACATTCAAGTACTATGCAGTTCTTCATATATACACACATGACACATCAATTTCAAACAGATGGTATCGGTATCGGCCAATACTGCACAGCCAGGTATCGGGTATCAGTATCGGGGCAATGCTAATTAAAAGGAGTTACTCAAAGCAAATGTGTCCAACCCTAGCTCAAAGTACAGTCTTAAAAACATACTTCATGTATGCCTTTAGTTTTGTTTTTGTTTTGGCCAAAGGAGATTTCTGCAAATGTTAGAACTTTTCATTAAGAGTCAGTTTTCCATTTTTTTTATAAACCTGGAATAATTAGATAATTTCAGAACATTCCTGGTATCTTCTAAAAGGGCCAGATTAATCTGCTAGTGAATAACCCAGATGCAAGTTCATGTGAGCATAATTTAAACACCATTCATGTGTAAAATGTGTTAATCTGCTCTGTACAGTAGAGACAAAACAATGCTGCTTCCCTCCTCAGTCAGAAGGAAAGTACTGTCATTTTGTTCAGAACATTGCTTCACAGGCCAGTGGCCCATACGATATTCAAACAAGTGGAAACTATGCCATCTGCAACTGAGCATACTTTAGTCTTGTGTTACTTATTTGTTCCATAGTTTCCCCTCAGCTGCCAACCTTTGGTTTAACCTACAGAGCTGCCGAAGGAAGCCGTCATTGGGTCCAATCTCCCTTTTCTGTCGCACCATGGCCAGAGCGGAGTGGACATCCATTTTTTGGTGAAGCATTAGGTAAGCGATGACCAAGGTAGGTGAGCGGCTGTAACCTTCCCTGCAATGGACGTACACCTTTCCTAGAAGGGAGAAAAATGCCAAAGTTTTAGTTGCTTTACTACACATAAGATTAGAAAAGGTCATAAAAATGTTTCAACATCAAGTTTTTCTTGAATTTGTAAATTTGTGAGAAAAAAAATGGAACATAGTATGTCATATTTATCTGATTCAAAGTAATTTAAAAGTAATTGAGATTAGACAAAAAAAAACATCTTTTAAATGTTGAAAGTCGTAATTATGAGGTTTTAAGTCATAATTGTCTTTTATAGTGACAGTTATGAGATTCAAAGTCATAATTTCAAGGATGAAATTTTGACTTTTTTGATCTGGATATTATTACTTATAGCGTTAAAATTATGACTTTGAATCTCATAGCTGTAACTATAAAAGACAAAATTATGAATAAAAAAATCATAATTATGACTTTGAACATCAAAATTATGTTTTTTTTGTCTCATCTCAGTGAAAAGGTACTTTTAATCCAATAAATATGACACACCACTTTCCTTTTTTCTAAGTGCTGGAAATGGACTGCTATAGCAATGGGAGCCAAAAATAAAAAAGCATAATGTGCATATTAATCTAACTGTATATGCTCAGGTCAAAACTAGATTCCCAACCTTTTCCATTTTTATAAGCCAGGGCCTTCTTTATAAAGTCTGCAGCCTCTTCAAAGTAGACACTGATGTCAAAGTGGTCGGTGTCGTTGGCTGGGATGCCATGGTAAACGATTCCTGAGCCGGCGTAGAAGTCGGCACTTGTGTTGACGTGCATGAAGGAGTTTCCCTCTGCTGCGTTCAGGATGTGAGTGATGCCTAGACGCTTAAGGCGCATCACGTTTGTTGCAACAAATCTGAAAACAAAAAAAAAACAGTATTATCAATACTCAAAACAAAATGTTTTATTATGTTAAAATAAACAACAGGCTGCTTTGGCAACCTGTCATGTGCTGACAGATGTATGGTTAAAAATCTTCAGTTTAAAACGTACCAGTAATGGAAAATGAAAGAAAATGGAAAAATCTCATCATGCTCATAAACAGATTTCCACAGCAATTGCCCCTTTGGCACCAACTTAAAGGGGAACGCCGTTTTTTTTTTACATTGGGCCCTTGATTTTATGTTATTACATCATGTTCTACTCTCCCATATGAGTTTTGTGCCATTTGGAGCCATTCTGAAGATATTCGGTTAGGTTATATCCAAGTAACGTCTTCCTATGGGCAACGAGTTGAAGGCACAAACTAAACTGTTCATAATTTTTTCTTTATGGTACGCCAGCATTCATAACATGTAGGTGAATCACTGTCCCCCAGACAACCGCGGTTAAATTTTCTATATTTATATATTTTAAAAACAAAGCGGAGGGGCCAATATAAAAAAAAGGCATTCCCCTTTAATGATGTTAAGGTACAACAACTCTTAATATAGGACATTATGGTGTTGAAGAAACCACATTTTTCAGCACTCAGAAGAAATTCTAACAAAGGAGTTGATTTGCAACACAATCGCAACTTAATAAAATACAGTTTCAATTGCAGTCACTCAATTTTGGTCACATTAAATTTAATCAAAAATAATACACCGGTTTTCCTAAGGACAACAGAGCCCTTAAAGGTGGAATTACACTTAAAGTGGGTTTACCGCCACACAGAAGAGAGTTTTTGCTAGCATGCAGATCCATATATGCAACTATAAGTAAGCTCTTCACACAAGGGTACCACAATAAACTTCTTAGCACCTGTTTGATAAGTGCACAAGGTGTGTATTAGTGTTTTGTAGTGCAGATGCATATTAACTCATATTTTACTGAGCGTACAGGTTCCTTTGTTTTAGTGACGTTTTTGTCATGTAGAGGGAGCTAAAGTTCTGATAATTTATTCACCAATAGAAAGTTTTAGTGTTATGTGCTGTGTAAAGGCACAGATGGTTGCATTATTATGTGTTTTTTTTGGTACTAGGAATTATGAAAGAAAATGTTAAAAGTTATATAAGTATGCATGATAAAAGATAGTAATAGCACTCAAGGTAAATATTTAAGGATTCAAAGGGTTTTAATAATTTCAGACTTGGAAGTCCATCTATCCCACCATTTTCTACTGCTTATCCAGGACCGGGTCGCAGAGGTAGCAGTCTAAGGAAAGGTGCCAAGACTTCCCGATCGACTCACACTTCTTCCAGCTGCTCATGAGGGACCCCGAGGCGACACCAGGCCAGAGACATAGTCCCTCCAGCGTGTCCTGGGCCTTCAACAAGGCCTCCTCCCAAAGAAACATGCCTGGAACACCTCCTGAGGGACGCTAGCTGGAGGCATCCAAAACAGATCGACGTGGAGGAGCAGTGACTATACTCTGAGCTCCTCCCGGGTAACTGAGCTCCTCACCCAAGGAAACTAATTTCAGTAGCATGTATTTGCTTGTCTTTTCTGTCATTACCCAGATTTTATGACCATAGGTGAGGGTTGGAAAGTAGATCGATCAGTAAATCTAGAGCTTTGCACCACCACAGTCCTGTACAGCGACCGCATCACTGCAGACGCTGCACCAATCCATCAATCATCTTACATGTATGCTCCATCCGCCCCTCACTCGTGAACAAGACCCTGGACGTAAACTCCTCCACTTGAGACAAGGACTTTCCACCAACATGAAGAGGGGAGTCCACCTTTCTCCGGTGGAGAAACATGGCCTCGTATTTGGAGGTGCTGATCCTTAGAATTCATTCATGGTAAATTAAGAACCCTAAAAGGTTAAAGACAATTTACTGTCTGAGTTACCAATTATATTTTTTATTTCAAATATTTTTTTTTAGCTCTTTTTAGTTCACATGCGAGGCTATTCAATGAAAAGATTGTGAACCATTAATTTGAGGGACCATCTTTTCAAACGGGGAGGCTATATAAGGTTGTGAAAACAATAAAGCCTTTATTTTGGCTGCAGTCTGCATATCCTGATCGACAAGATCAGATGTGCAATTCAACGAACTATACTTATGTCTTTGAATAAATATATTTGGATCAACAAAAAAATTATTCATCAAATCCACTTGAGATTAGTATGTCAAAAAAGGAAGTCATAAAACCAGTAAATCTTTTTAACAGAAAAAGTTCCATCCTGAAAACAAATAAGATGAAACAATGATCAGAGATGTTGATGTCATTAGCCCATGCTTCCCACCAAGATGGTCTCACAACCAAACAGGAACAGACCAGATCTTATTGCCACATTGCCAGACAGGACACTGTATAAAAAAAAAAAAGGAACAGACCATATGGATCTACTATGATGATTAAAAGGGAAGACTTAAAATAAAAATATTGCCGATTTCAAAATTAGAGATTGAATGATGAAAGGTGGTCTGGTCCTCCAGCAGTCTAAGCCTATAGCAGCGTAACTATGCCATGCAGATATTGTAGGTCAGAAAAACCTGAGCCACTGTAAATTTAGCTGTATTGAAAATGAATTGTAAGTGAATTAAGTGTAAAGAATTAGCCCACCAAAATAATCTGCAGCATAATGATGATATAAAAATAAATACATAGTATCGGCATCAGCCTTAAAAAAAACCCTGTATATGTCGATCTTTACTCTGTGCTTAGAGTTTTCTCTGTGTTGCTTACATTGACATGTTAACATACTACCTAAATAATTAACATAAAATAGATTTTTTTTTAAATAGTCTTTTGTCCTCTCCCTGTACTATTTTCTTTCAGGAGCAAGACGTGCTCCAATTAACTGAATTTCTGCTGCAATGCTTCAGACCTCTTTCCTCTGAAAACAGAAGAGCTAAAAATAGTCAGTGGAGTCTGATGCAGACATCCATTCCTACAGAGAACCTAAAGATCAAAACATCAGAGAAACAGCCAAGCCTGGGCGCATGTTCTGTTTATCCAGCTCCAAGCACCTTTATATAAGCTGCCTAAATTTGGCCAAACTTCCTTTTTTAATTCAGTATAAGAGTAGGTGGTATGAAAAAAGGTAAAAATAGAGTACATATCTGGAAATATTCTACCATGACTGCAATTAGAAAGCAGGCTTTGTTTTTAATGCTTTTGAAAAGCTATGAAAAGATTAGAAGTATAGTTTTCCCTAACATCTCCTGCTCTACCTCCTGTGTACCAAATGTGTGATTGTTCTAAGTCATATACTTTGTGGCAGACACTACTTTTAACCCTTTGATGTAGATATTTCATGAATACTCTAAAATACTGTTAATAAGGAATATGTAGTGTATGCAGAAACAAATCTATTCCTGCATACAATCCGCAGAACATGATTCAGAGACTCTACGACTCATTGAATTTTAAAAAACACAACCTACAATTTTAACATTGGTATTTCATGTGATAGATCAACATAAAGCAGAAAAAAAGCATGCAATTGATGGATTCCAAAAACAAATAAAGATCCAAGACGTTCAGCCTAAACGTCTGAATCAGTACAGGATCTAATTTTAGGGTTGAGCAATGTTTTTAGGTTTTAAAAATATCAAGATCTTAAAAATAAACAGAAGAGAGAGAAACAAGACGAGACCAAATAGTTTATGTTGCGATGGTTATAACGAACGCCATTAGCCATTTTTGATTTTTATCTACAGCTGTTGTAGATGTGACACTGAGAAAAAGCTTTGATTCAGATATCCCTTTTTTATGGCTTTATCAAAAAGGAAAAAATATAAAAAATAATTTTCACTCCTTTTCACCTAGTTTGCAGCTACGTTTTTTTTTTTTTTTATCAGGAGTATATTCACTACCAGCTATTGAAAACTTTTATCTTTGGTAATGACCTCAAAGTCAACTATTGCACATCTATACCTGCTATTCTATGGAATTTAAGCCAGGACTCTTGCTGAGCCCATCCAAACATTAGAATTAAGCTTAGAAACATGTGGGTTAAAATCAAAATGAGTTTAAGGCTAAATGTTCAAAGCCCACTGGTGGATTTAGCCTAAGCTGTTAGTTTCTCTTACACAAGTTCTCCTACATGAGAGCCTCTGTTAATTGCCTACTTGTCTAAACTGGTCATGTATGTTTTTTTAAGTTCAGTACTTTTGATCCAAGGAATATCTGATATTGTTTGGTAATCAAAGGCAGCTTTAAACTTCTCAACAACTTTACCCCGCTGTGCTGAGGACATTTTTTTTAATAAATATTTTCCAGTGTAGTCCTGTTTCTCTGACGGTGACTGGCTGGATGTGATCTCATCCTCTGACATGGGAGCTAGCTCGGAACTCGTCTGCCTGGCTGTGTGTTTCCTGGACGGGGCCGCTTTTTACAACTGCTTTTCGTATCTCTGCTTCTGTCTCCTTGAACCCCAGTGGGCCTCAGCAGATGGCCGCTCACACTGAGCCTGGTTCTGCTGGAGGTTTCTTCCTGTTAAAAGGGAGTTTTTCCTCTCCACTGTTGCTACATGCATGCTTAGTGTGAGGGATTGCCTTTAAGTCAATGAGTTAATGCAATCAACTGGTTTTCCTTATAGAAAACTTTAAATCAATTTCACCGTATGATCTGGTGAATTGCAAAGTGCTTTGAGATGATGTGTTGTGAATTGGCGCTATAGAAATAAACTGAGTTGAATTTAATTAAATACAATACATTAGTAATACATACATAAAATACAATTGAGAACACAACAGAAAACCCAAAAATAACTATGTAGAGAAGCAGCTGCAGGTGTCTGTGAACAAGGATGATATAATTGTTTTGAAGGATGAAATTGAGTCTATCCAGTTTAAGAATATTTTGCAGAGCAGAATATTTTGGTTTAGATCAAAGAGTGACCCTGTTAAAGTCCAGACCTAACACACAAACATTAAATCCCTCTATCCTGTCTGATGAATCAAAAAAGGATCAGCTAGATGAGGATGGAAAGAACGCAGAGAAAAAGAGGTCTAACTCATCCAGGAGACAGAAGAAGCACAGCAGTTATTTTCGGCTCATCCATATTTCATCTGTGCTCCATTTTATTTACAGGACACTTTTCCCCTAACCTCCTTGCTGTGACACAGCACATCATATCTTTGCTCCTATCCACCAACAAGGGAAGCAGCATAAGGTGCAGCAGGGAACCAATTCAATGAACTCTTTCTAGAAAGATGTAGACTGTTCAGTGTTGAATGTGAGATACCCCCCAGACAGACAGATAATTAAATTGCATGGTTATCATTTTAGAAGATAAGGAATGTCCAAGACTTTATTTGCAGCATTAGTATATGAACAGATCAGCTGATAATGAACTTCTATAAATTCAGACTCACGCATTGCCGATGTAGATCCGTGGATAAACCTCATGGAAGTGTTTGGTGGGCCAGCTGTAGAAGCCGCTCTCATCCGTCAGTAGATCGTTGAGTTGCTGCAGAGAAACCTCGAAGCTGGACATGTTGAAGCGATCAGGAAGAGCTGTCTTCACATCCCTCTTATGTTTGTTCTTCATGTCTGAGGAGGGGTGCAGCAGGACCTCCAACAGGCGCATTTCGACGGCAGTGAGGCGGCAGGCAGGTGTCGGTTTACCGTAGAGCAGCGAGCGGTCAGCTGTTTTTCCAAAACAGGCGAGCTGCACAGGGAGCGACAGCTGCAAGGGCGGAGTTAAGCTTTTTTCGTTCCCTTTGGGTGGTTCCCTTGCCCCCAAATAAATAATAAATGGTTAAGAGGTCAGCAACGTTTTTAAGGCTTAAAATTACTGTAGCCGAGGGACAGAGATGTGTATTATGGGGCACTGTTTTGGTTTGTTTGGTTGTTCATTTCCTTGTCATTCTGTTGGGTTG